TTTTTTTTTTTTTTTTTTTTTTTTTTTTTTTTTTGGAACGTGGTAATTAATAACATTTTTTTCTTCCCAACTTTAAGTTGGTAAAATGTTTTTTAACAGTTTCAAAATCGCAACGACGAAAGTCGGCGGCGTGAAGGTGATGTCCGAATGTTAGTCCACTCATCACACGCTGGTGCAGTTATTGGTCGTGGTGGCTCAAAAATCAAAGAAATTCGTGAAGAAACTGGAACTCAACTGAAGGTATTTCGCTTTTAATATTGCTATAAAGTCTACTTCCCCTTTTTTTTATTTGGTACTGTTATAAGATTAAAAAAAATTCTATTAAATCTGAACTAGTCTTTAAGCTAGAAGTAGTTTGGCGGTTGGTACTTTGCTCTGTTATTCAGGTTTATGCACAATGTTGCCCACAGTCAACTGAACGAGTTATCCAGATCAGTGGGAACCCAGATCAAGTCATTGACTGCGTTAAGCTGATTATAAATATCTTAAAAGAGGTACTTTGTAGATTTTTTAAACTAATGCTGCAAAACACCAGAAATCCAGTAACTTTTTTTCGTTTTATAGTTCATGCAAAGGTTTTAATTGAATTTGATTGATAAGTAACTATTTTCAGATCCCACTGAAAGGCACAAACAAACCTTATGTATCAATTTATTATGACCCTACTCGTGTTGAAGTTTATGGGGGATATCCACCAGATAGAAATTACCGCGACTTTTCTCGAGGTGGCTTGGGCATGGCAGTTGAGCTACCATCTTATGGAATCGGTATGGACATTCGAGGTTCACGTGCTTTTGGAAATCGAGGACCAATGGGTTCTCCCGCAATTCCTCCATTTTCATTGCGACAGGAGCAAACTACGCAAGTAAGGAAAAAGTATTGCAAATAATAGTTAATAGTTTTCTTTGAGCTTCGTCTGTTATTTTCAGTAAACTACTTGTTGCACTTATTTAAGGTAACCATTCCAAATGAATTAGGAGGCACGATAATTGGTAAAGGTGGAGAACGTATTAGTAGAATAAGGGAGGAATCTGGTGCAGTGATAACTATTGAGCCTCCACAGGAAGACAAGGAACGTATAATAACGATTTCAGGGACACAAGCCCAAATACATGCTGCGCAGTATCTTCTCCAACAGTGGTAATTATTAATAGTTTATTACCAGAATAATACTTTAATGAAATTTTGGTAGGTGCCAAAAATTGGTATTTTAATCTTTTAAAGTTATTCTGTCATAGTCTGAAACTTATTTTTTCCGCCCGATTACTATCCTGTGCTTACATTTTAGCGTTCGTTCATCTCTTGCTGGAAGACGGTATCTTAGTCAGCACTGAATTTTTTCATTGTCGTTGAATTGACGAAAGGATGTTTCCGTTTCTTGCCATAGTTCAATTCCAGATTCCTTCCGGATGCAGCCGTGTTTTTCATCTTAACTTTTTTGTTTTGTACTTGATATTCATTGTTTAGTGATTTCAAGGATCTCTGTTTCAAAAAAGTTTTTGATTTACTTTTTTTTAGGACATGAGGTTGTTGCTGGTACTGCCTGCAAAACCAAAGAATTTTTAAGGAAAATTCTTTTTTAGATTTGAGTTGACTAACAAGTCTTGTTAATTTAGTCGGTGGGTTGGTTCTAAGGATTGAAAATTGTTTAGGATACCTTTTTTACATTTGGGAATGGCCGTAAGAAGTATTTCTGAAGATATGATTTGCATAAGGGTGCAGAAAACTATTTGGTCAAAATTTTTCGGGTTTTTTTGCGGTATTTAAAAGCAAAAGGAGAAGGGGAGTACCGGACATCAGTGTTTCTGTAGATGTGTAAAAAAGCTGACCTCGATGCTGTCCCATTATAGCCCCCATCATTAGGGCCAAAGGCTGCTATGGAATACGATGATGAAAACATCTGAACACTTTGAGATTTACTGTGAGCCGAATAATGGCAAAAAGTTTCTCCATAAATAAAAAGAGCTCGGAAAGCTTTTCATAGCGCTGTATCATGTATTGAAGCGGCCAAAAGTGAACTTTTTCTGTTTTCTCCATAGGCACCTCTGTCTGTCACGGCGCTGTTTTAGCTAAATTTAACGCGGTGTTGTGTCCTTTGTTAAATTCTTCAGCTGAATGAACTAGGTATTCCGAGAAAAATTTTTTCCCCCTCTGATTTAACTGCGATTTTTACAGTTTCACAGTTGGCTTTAGTTTGGTTAGGATGGCTAATGAAAGGGTTCAAAGGAGATCTGGATAGAAAAATTGTTCTGTCTCGCAGCTTGCTCCCATTATTCTGTGGTTCTTCTTCCTTTCGGTGGTTGAGCTGTGATGGGAAAGTGTCCCGATTTTTCATGTATTATGGCTGAACTGGTCGTTTTTTGTAGCGGTTTTTTCATTATATGTCTTCTGGAACTACAATAATCCATGTAGGTTTTGTGTATTTTAGAGCTATACATGACGCGCAATAGTTTGGCCAAAGGTTTTTGTCCGAAAAATTTTCACTCCTTCAGAATCGGCAGCGGCAAATGCCTGCAGAACGTGAGATGAATTCATGGATAGGTAGTTTAGGGAAATAAATCCTCACGTCATTTGGCAGGGGAAAACCGACTAAGTTGCTTAAATTGCAACTGTTCAGAAAGAAAGTGTAGACTTTAGAGTTGTTTTCTGATTGTAGTTTCTACCTTCTTTTTACACTTACAGGTGGCTGGTTCCACTGGCAGTTTTTTTGGGAAAAATTGTTTTGGGAGGTGCTGTATTAGGGAAATGTTGGTCCTAATGCTGCACGCACTCCAAGCTTGCAGGCTTTCAAGCGGAGTTCAAAGTCAAATTATGGTTTCAAAAACAGGCAATTAATTTTTTTAGACTTTTTGTGGATCTTTCTACTGGAAAAATGGATCGTTCTTTTTTTTTTGTTCTATGTTTTTACTTCATAAATTTCTTAATATTTTGTAATAAAAATTGATTTGAGCTGTATCTTCTTCGCGTTCTGTTTTGTTAATTCTGTCCTATTGTGTGTCGCAGATTTGTGAAATCTTGTTCAGTCTTTTTTTTTTTTTGTTTTGTTTTGGACGGATTTCTTTAGTTCAGAGACTGGTTATAGGCGTTGAATTTAAATTTGATATATTTTTCTGGTATTTCTCGTATATCCATTATTTGTCTTTTACTAAATTGGTGAAGAATATGTCATGGCTGCAAGTTTTATCAATTAATGTGATTTGGTTTGTGCCGATTATCTTAAATTATTTCCTTGGCATTGAGTTTACTCCAGTTTTTGTTGTTGAGAGGAATATTTAGAAATATGTTGGGACATAGCTGAACTGGTAACTAAACTTCTGACCAATTTGTTGACCTCTAATCTCAAAAGCTGTGTTATAAAGCTCCTCTCCCCATCTCTCCTGAGGTCGCTTAGGGTTTCTCTATGTGTTTCTTTGTTGCATTTTTTTCTCATAGTTGTTGTGCGACAGTAGACGCAGGTCAGTTATTTTATAAGATTTCATGAGGAAACCTCGTTAGAAAATTAATTTTACTTACTATTTTATTAAGCAGTTCACTTGAAATAAAGTTTTTTTACCAACAAACAGCCCGATTCTATGTTGATAATTTTGATAGTTGAAATATTCTTCCAGATGTTTTGCTGTTTATTGAGCAAGAGTTGGTTATTTAGATAAAAAGCTCGTTTATTGGTAGCTGTTGTGGATATCTACCTGGGCTATGGGAAATTGTTGTCCATTGTCTCGTATGTGTTGTAGGTATCTATTGGAGAAATAGTGTGTCAAACCACCTGGGATTTGTGAGCTGCTTTGCTAGCGCAGGCTGCGATGGTTATAAGCTCTGTAGCTTGATGGATGGTCTTAGTGAAGGTGTAAAAGAAATTATCAGCAAGTACCCGGTTTTTGAAGCCATCGATAGGGGAAAGGTGAATGATTTAGTTTTTGGCAGTCAATGATAATTGGGGCTTTAGATGTGATTTGCTTTTGCTAGACCTTACTGGATTTGCTGCTTTGTTGTGCCAAAAATCTCGCTGTTTCTTCATAAGATTCAGACTGGGTCAGTTTACCGTGCTTTAAGTTAAGTTTCTTTTTTATTGCTGCTTCGTATGAGTGGAAGCAGCGATAGTAATAATAATAATAGTTTTTTGATTGGAGCATTTGTACTAAAGCATCTTTAAGCTACGTTGTACAGTCACCGGACACGAGTTGCCAGCTCGTGTGGAACTTCTTGACTCATATACGAAAACTTCGAAGTTTCTTCGCTCTTTCAGGGTCCATCAAATTATGGAGGAATATGGAGAATATTTTGATGATCTTGGGTCAGTTATCACTCCATGTTTCTCGGATCAGACGTTTCTTGTGAATCGTTATTTAAACATTGAAATAGCTTTCTATTATAGAAACGACAGAGTTGGATGTAAGGTAACAAAAAAAATCATAGCCAAGGATCCAGATGATCTAAGAAGGCATATTGAGGGCAAAAAGTTTAAAGCCGCTATGGAAAGAGGTGTGAGTTTACCGTTTTATCTCTAGCCGATCTGCCGTTTACAGATTTTTTGGTATTTTCATTCCACTGAAAAGTTTGATTTTGACCTGCTAAGCGCTTTTCTTTGTTATTTTTTTCCTCACATTTTGTAAACTTATGCAGCAGTTAACTGCTATGTTAACGTTTTGCATGAGATAAGCTTGCGTAGTACTTTCATAGTTTTCTTATTTTGTGAAATATATCATTTTATTGCCTCCTCCTGCAGTATTCTGAGGAAACTGATAATTTTGGCAGTCTTATCCTTGAGGAAGGATTATTTAGGCTCTTTTGACGATGAACATGAAACGACCGACGATGAAAGCGATAGAAGCATCAATAGCAATGACGTTTTTCCAAAAAATATGGACGAAGATACTTTTGATGACGACGATGATGATGAAGAGGAGGGAATGGAAGAGGATTACCCGGGTATTAAACAAATAGTTTCATCAACTGTTTTTGCGGTGTTTAAACCGCTGGATTCGTGCATCCTTTCTATGCTTTAAGAAAAGGCCATCACTTTCTACAGATACATGTATCAAAAGTAATACTCCAGCTTTAATATCGCCTCTGTTAGACTCTGGCTCTTCCACGGACGTTCGGTACACTTCTTAACCAAAACCCTGTGCGCTTTCTTTTCTAGAAATTTCCTTTCAGAGTTTGCGAACAAAAGAGACGAGGACTTGTCAGAAGATGACAACTATGATTTTTCCGTCATGGACACGGAGAAGGATACAGACATGAATAACAGGAAAAGGAAAGTAAGCTTTTAAGTACTAGCTGCGTTTCCCCCTGATAAGTTGTTTCTATGCTGTTCTTACAAGTAGAAAACGAAGTAGCATCATTTCAGGCTGAAAGTGCATCAAAGCATAAGAAGAGAAAGCGACGGTAGGTGGCCTCCTCTCATGTTAAATTTCTTCCCGACTGTTAAACTCTTCTTTCCACCTAATTGTGCTTAAATTGTTTTCAGAATGCACCATTATTGTTGTAATGTTTAGATTTTAATTTTGCCCAAATGGTTGTTGTGTTGTTCGAGTGCTTGAATTCTGTACAAGGACTAAAAACTTCTCCGTTTATTAAATGTAACAGCATGGTTTGAAATGAACATTAACGTCGCAAAAATTTTAAAAATTTGTCTCAATAAAAAATTTCTGTTTCTATTCAGCCATCTGGCATTTAACATTTCATGCTAAAGCGAACGAGGAACGAAAGAACGCTAAATGGATATATTTGGTAGTCGAAAAAAGAGTGATAGCTTCTTTCCTTCAAATCGTGAATTTTTCGGTTTACCGAGATCCCAATTCAAAAAAACAGAAACAGAAGTTTA